CTCGAGTTGCAATGCTTTTTGCTCCTTTTAACTCCTTCGTGAGTTTTGTAAGAGCGGGAATCAGCATCCAGCGATACACATGGGAGGCGTTTTGACCAGGAGAGCTTTTCCTTTTTCCCTCCCAAGTGTCAGCAATTGCTGTATCAACAGCAGAAATGGGCTACCCCGGAGCAATCTGAATCACCCCCGGGCATCTCATTGCTCTGCTTTTGGGCTCGGGGCTGTCTCCCGCCACCAGCTACTCCTGCGGCTCCTGCCGGGGCTGAAAAAAGCCCCATGCCCTCTGCCACCCGTCTGGGAAGGGGCTGGCAGCACCCCCGGCCACCTCCCCATGGGTGGTCCTGTGCTTGGACTCAGCGCCCGCCTCGCCAGAAGGCTGTTCTCCGCATCAGGCTTTGGCACTGGCTTTTCTCACTCATCTTTTCCCAACCGGCTTTCAAAAAGATCTCTTGAAATAATCCCGGAGAGCCTTCGCAGGGTCCTGAGAAGTTTTCTGCATTATTCATTTGCGTGCCTTTGAGCTACCTAGCTCGGGGAGGTTTCATTTATAAAGCAGCTGGCAAAACAAAGCCGAGGGAGCTACTTCCCTCGTGTGAGCAGCTCGTAACAAACCCGGCGGAGCACAGCTTGCCCTGTAACAATTATCAGCATCGCCTCCCGAAGACAACGCTCGCTGTGTCCTCGGCTCCCCTCCTTTTCAAGCGCCCAATATTTAAAGTGTGAAGACTTCGTTATTGCTCCTTCCTCCTTCGGCTAATGAGGTCTTCACACTTGAAAGAGGGTTGGGAGGAGGGACAGGTCCCGGGCGGGCGGTGCGGGAGGAAGGGCAGCTTGCCCTGACTCATAAATCTGCTTGGCTCGCTGTGCGAGGTCTCCGGGTAATAAGAGCACAGGAAATGGTTGCTTTTACTGTTCTCTTGAAAAATGTAAACTTCTTGTCTGCTGTTGGGCAATAGGGAAAGTAGACGGTGTTTCTTGGGGAGGAGGTTGTAGAAAAAAAGGAGCAAAAGGCAAAGATGGTGCCGTGGCTCCGCTTCCCAGCCTTGCACGGAGAATAAGGCTGCCTGGGACATTCGCTGCACTTTTATCATCCAGGTTTCCAGCTATTATATCCACCCAAAGCAGATTTGCAAGACAGGCACTGTATGGACTCCCCCATAGAGACTCATAGATCCCCTCTCAGTCTTCTCTTCTCCAGGCTGAACAGCCCCAGGTCTCTCAGCCTTTCTCCATAGGGAAGATGCTCCAGGCCCCGTATCATCTTTGTGGCCCTCCATTGGACTCCTCTCCAGTAGGTCATCCCCCAGCCCGTACTGATACTTCGGGTTGTTCCTTCCCAGGTGCAGGACTCTACACTTGCTCTTATTAAACCTCACTTGGTTTCTTCCTGCCCATCTCTCCAGCCGGTCCAGGTCTCGTTGAATGGCAGCACAGCCTTCTGGCATCTCAGCCAATCCTCCCAGCTTTGTGTCATCGGCGTACTTGCTGAGGGCAGACACTATTCCCTCATCAAGGTCGTCGATGAAGATGCTGAACAAGACTGGATCATACTTGAAAAAACCCTTCTTATTATCCTTTATCTCTTTTGCAAGCCTCATCTCTAGGTGGGCTTTAGCCTTCCTCGTTGCATCCCTGCAGGCCCTGAAAACTCATCTACATGTATACTCCTCCCAAGAGGACAGGCCCTTTTTCCACATTTCACAGACCATCCTCTTCCTTTTGATCTTATTGATGAGCTCCTTGCTCATCCACGCGGGTTTCCTGCCCCCCTTCCCCGATTCCCTATTCTTCGGGATGCACCGATCCTGAGCATGGAAGAAGTGCTGCTCTCACAAGCACCCTTGCCTTCTAGCAACCTATCCCATGAGATACTCCCAATGTCCCAATGTCCTCACAGACCCTCGCCACTGCCACATCTCAGCAGATAACTTCAGCTCTCCACCCTCTCTTAACTTTTTCTTCTTCAGGACAAGCAAACCCAGGTCCCCGTGTCTGCTCCAGCTCCCACGAGTGTTAGAGCTGTACAAGTTCTGTCACAACGGCTGGGTTCTCATGTTTTACGTCAGGTGAACTAGGAATCAGGAACAAAAAATAAAGTAAAATTAGGCACTGAAAGGCACAACAGAAGTAGAGACATCCAGTGGAGTATATCCATGGATGTTCTTGAATCATTCCTGAATAAGAAAATTATCTCTGGAAGTCCAAGTTGTTTTCTGAGGGTAAGATGGGCAGAAAAATAAGAAGCATTTGTGCATGAGAATTAAACCCAAATAAACACAGCGTTTTCTTCTAAAAACTGAGTGGCATACAGGTGCAACAAGGTCTTATCACCGACGCTGAGCTGTGGACAAGGCCATGGAGATAACAACACCTCTGCTCCCCGGAGCACAAACCATAAAAAATGTGCTTGGGAAAATCGCGGGGACTTTGCCGTTTGGCTCCAAGGCTGCAGCTCAGTTGGCCTCAGTAACCTTTGACCGAAACTCAGCACTTTACACCCCTCTTTTTATTCTTAATGGGTTTAACTACAACAACTACAGATTAAACACTTTTAATCTGTAAAAATATTTAATTCGGCTTGCTGCTTTCTCTGGCCCATGGCTCCTGGGGGCGGCCTGGCCTCTGGTGGTGCCTTGGGCAGAGCTGAGGCCTATGCCCTGAGGCGGCCATACTGCGGGCAGGCCGCAGCCCTGCATGAAGAGGGAACTGCTGTGTGGCTGGGCTGCTTGAGGCTCTGCTAGTCCTGTTGCCAGCCCCGATAGTGGCCTTCAGCTCATGGCTGGGTAAAAACTCGTAGTGAGCAGCAAACAAAGCCGCCCTCCCCGCCGACTCCGCGCAGGAGCGGGCGCTGCCTCAGAGCGCGCCCCAGGGACTCCTCTCCCGGCTCCGAAACACAATCCCTCACCAGGGCAACATCTGCAATTCATAACCCTGTCAAGCAAGCCTCCAGCTGTGGGATGTTTGTCCGACCTGCCAGTTGCATGATTATAATGACTTCCTATTAAAAAAAAAAAAAAAATGTTAGTTAAGGTCAACGCCAAGCTAAATGCCTTTATTTTCTGCAGGAGACAAAGTGATGCAGGGAGGCAGGGAGCACCCCAAGACAGCAGCCAGGACACCAGTCCTATTTTTACTGAGTGCTGAGCCTCCAGATTGCAACACCGAGAGGAAGAGAGCCGCCTGCGCAATGTTTTCCTTGCAAACTTTGGAAATGCTCTAAATAAGAGCTGGTGTTAAGCTAAAAAAAAAATAAATACTGGGAAAAAGGCGTGTGGTAACACATGGAGGAAGCAAAGAGAGGATACTACAATGAATGGAATCCAAAATCAGGTAGGAGAGCTAGCCAAGTGAAGGTGTAGAAAAAGCTGCTTAAACACCAGGATTTTAGGGAAAAGCTGTCACTGCCAGGCCAGTGGAGGGGCCTGGATGCTGCGAGTGACAAGTGCAGGGAAAGGGCATCGGGAACCAGCTCCAGAGGACACAGCCACAGCACCTGGGCAGCTCTGGGTCTCCCACTCACCATCTCCCTAAGTGCCAGGCATACCTAACGGGGGGATGAGCTGTTTCCATTTTATCTTCCGATTCCAGAAATTCAAGCCTGAAGTTGCTCAGGAATGTTTGCTCAGCCGAGACAAACTCGCAGAAGAGCTACATCGATTTGCCCCCCTGGGCATGCAAGACTGCATCCGCAAACCGCTTATGTAAATCAACATTTCATTGGGTTATAAATTGCAAAAAGTTTTCCTAAATATCCCACATCTGCTTTCTGCCATGGCAGCCGTTTACATACCACGTTTCCAGTCACCAGGCATCTGCTGTATTCATTGATTGAAAAATGGTCCCCGCTCCTCTTGTAGCTGCTTTCTAACATGTGTTTCGGGCAGCACAGGCAGCACGTCCCATTGCATCGGCGTTAAACGTATTGTCTGCTGCAATTCAACACTGTAAAACTAATGGTTGCTATCAGCAAGGTCATTTAGGAACGCGGGAAGATATAAATCATCTCCGGGCCGCCTCCACGCGCGGCCCAGAGCAGCACCTCATGTTTGACTTCCCCACGTGCCCTGCATCTGCCTCCTCGTGCGCTCCTCTCACAGCACGTGCACTGCTGTGGAGGGGTGTAAAAATGTACACTGTTATGTGAAAGCATTTAGCACACGCAAACCAGGCATCAGTTTTTCAACACTGTTGGTGATGTGAACGGTTAGAGGCAGAGCTGACAGCAAACACAGCCACAGAGAGTTTAAGAGCACAGATCAAGGGGGTAATGAGGGAAATGTGACTTCCTTGAGTAAGACTTGAGGTGTCCCCCCCAGCTCCTTCCTAGAAAATATACCGGTGAGCTTTGCTCACTGTGGAAATAGATTTGGGTTCAGCCTTTGTGGGAATTTTGGTGTGAATTCAGCATCACACCGACTGACAACGATGGATTTAATTGAATCCATTGCACGGGCCTCACTGACCCAACCATGGCAGGTAGGATAAAAAGCATGGGGCTCCAGGGCAATGCTCTGTTTTCCATGAAAGGCAAAACCCAAGTGATTCAAGGAATGACCCAAACCTGCCGATTTACATCATCTTAATAGCACGATGGGTATGGGATGTTAACTCTCCTGCTTCTCAGCATCCATGCCTATTAAGTACAGGAAAATCTCTCAATGGTCCTGTCCTGACATCACACAGGAATCCTTCTTGGAAAAACCCCAAATACTACACATCCACCCTTATAAAAATACTGCGAAATGAATGAATTAAATCACTCATCATGTTCAGCACTCAATCTAGAGTAACACAGTCTGGAAAGAGAAAAGAACACGTAATTTAGGCTGTGTAGTGGATAATTAAAGAGCAGCTGAAGTTAATGCAGGCTGAATCTGTTTCCCCTGCCTCTCATCAGTACCATCAAGCCGTATATTATCAAACACATCATGCTTTAGGAAAGCTAAGCATCTCCACCTACTACCCAAGCGCTTGCCAGCTCTCTGTAGGCATCCACAGGATCTGATGTCAGCAGTGTCCTTACGGCCTTTAAAAGGTGAATTCTATAAAATATCCTCAGTGATTAACTTTCATTTATGCCTTGGAAGCTGAAATCCAACAGCTGTCGTGTGGTTTCCACTGCTCTGGGAAGCGCACCGATGCACTCCTTGCTGATAAGAGGCCGCAGCCATCAAGCAGGCCCAAGAAGAGGCTAAGCAGCAGCCTTCCCCAAATCATCCAGCGGAGAGCTAAGCCCTGCTTCCACTGAACCGTCATCAGAAACAGCTGATGTCAATTAGACAGATGTTAATTAGATATGTTGGTCGGGGTGGGAGAGACAGGGATAGCATCACCCTGAGGGTGAGGTTATGCATGGATATCCACTGCGGTAAGCAGAAGTTATTCTTTGTTATTTCCCTGAGGCTCTATCTTTTTACTCCCTGATCAGTTTGTATTTTTCTTTTTATTATTAAAGGTACGAACCCAAGGCATTGCTTACACCCAGTCCTTTGCAGAAGTCCTTTGCTTTCACTGGGGGAGAAGAGGACTTACCCCATCCAGAGCTTTTCCTACCCCTCAGGCACTGCATGCGAGTTGCCAGGAGGTTTGCAGAGGGTGTTATCCTGGTGAGGTCAGGTTTGCCCCTCTTTGGGGGGAAAAATGGAAAAAACAGCACTTCCCTTGGGTTGTGCAACATTCCTGTCCTCACAGCCTGAGGGCATCTTTTACAAGAAATAAAACACATGAGACCATGCAATAAGAAAAAAAAAAAAAAAAAAAAAAAAGAAGAAGAAGAAGAATTAAAATAAAGCCCAAAGCCCAAGACAACCAAGACAAAGCACGGATTTCTCATGCCAACTGCAGGGAGACATTCAGCCGGGAATAATGTGTATTTCTGACAGCATTATTCACTCACCCCCGAGTAAATACCCCTTAATCCCTATCCTAGCAGAAATTTATGGGAAAGATTAGCCGGGCAGCTTGCTCTGAAGTGTCACAAAGCCCGCGGCTGCCCGGCAGAGAGAGGTGGGAGCGGGACCACCAAGCACCCCCCACACGTGGCCCTGGACCAGCCTGGCACTGCGCCGCTCCCGGCTGCCTTCTTCAGCGACAAAAGCCTGGTGTCTGCCTAAGATCATGCAGACTTTTTTTTTTTTTTATATCCCCCAAACGCCTTTAATGAGCTGTTTCACAACTAGCGAAGGGCAGAAATAAGGCTGAGCAGAGCTGGTGGGAGGCGAGAAGCCCCAGCCTGCAGAAAGCCAGGAATTTCCCCTGGGGCTCTGATTCAGACGAGGAAATAGCTTCGGGTTTCTCCGAGCTGAAATTCTCAGAGAACTCTGGCTTTGGCAAAAGTATTACAGGGATTTAATACCCTGTCTATTATTTTATGTATTATTGTATGCTATTAGAGGGCAGTCATCATGCGATCATTTTCTCAGAGACCTCGCGTGGAAATTTTGAGTCGCTCAACTCTGCGAAAAGGAAGGGGGCATTTTTCAGTTAACAACTTGCAAAGAAAGCCTCCCGACTGACCTAAATCCAGCAGTTTGCAGCACTTCCCAAGGCCAGGCATTAGCAGGAACAGGAGATGGCTACAGCCTGCTGCTGGGGGAGGCGAGGGCTCACCTCCTAGCTCATGGCAGAAGAAGTGATGTGCAGAAATGCAAACCTTCCCCAAGGTCCGGCTCCCTCCACTCAAGGGCTTGACCGAAGCCTCATTTAAAGCCATGAAAGCTTTTCCATCGACCTCTGCGGGCTGACCGCTCAGGAAATGAGGCCGGGCCATCTGCTTGAAAGGCCGGTGCCCGTGTCAGAGTGCTTCTGATCAATAGCAGGCAATAAGCACGGCGCGCTCCCGGATGCGCTGGGGCTTCCCTTCGCCTGCTGCACCAGGCACCCAGCCCTGAGATGTCCGGGGCACCCTTTTAGCATTGCTTCGGGAGAAAAAAAAAAGCAGGAGCACCCATCTGTGGCTTTGATGTGCTCGGGCAGAGCACAACCAGGCCACGTCCCGTGTGGGAGAGCTTTTCCCTCATACCCACTTTCCACCAGCCTCAGCACAGAGGATGCTTCTGCTCTGTCCCACCAGCCTCACTCCATTTTCCAGGGTTTTTCCCCCAAAAGGAGTACAAAGTGCAAACGCAACTGTTAGCGTGCCGCATTATCTGACCCTTATCTGTGAGCTCCGGGTGGTGGGTGGCACCCTGACACCTCCTGCTGGCACACATTGCCCCACGGCTGTTTCCCCATCCCTGAGCACCCAGGGATGCCCACCTGGACCTCGGACTCACAACAAGATGTTTAATTACTCCGGTCTGTCTTTTCCTTGATACCCGAGGCTGTGATGAGAAGCTTGCGTTAATTGGCAATAAATTAAACCAGCTCTCCGGCTGGAGACTGTTTTGCCACAAAAAGTCGGCTTTTGCTCTGCTCTTGTTCCCATTTAATGAAAGGCAAATATTTAACACCGTGGCCAAGGGCAGCGCTGCTATATTTGTGCAGAAAAATGTCACAACCGGACCAGTTACGCTCAGCTTTGCCAATACGTAGAGATAATATAACCAGACGCATGACCTGATTACATTACCTCCTTCCTTTCTGCTTTTCCTTCTCTCTTTCTTCTTCTCCATGAAGTCAGCAAAATGTGGGCAAAACCAGCCCAAAGTGAGCTGCCCAAGGGGTGGGATGAAGTCCCTGGCAGGACCTGGGGTCCCTGAGCTTGCCTGCTCCCCAGCCACAGGCGTGTTTCCTCCCCACATCCCATCTCTGCGATGCCATCCCCAGGCTCCCAGCTCCGTGTGTCTCTTCTCTCGTCCTTCAATTATTATTTGGATAAAGGATTTTTGATCGGTAAACCCATACTTTCATAATCCCCCGCCTTTTCCCCGGTAACAGGGAGCCTGGGTGACCAGAGGCAATTATTTCCTCCTCTCTGGCACCCTCCTTCATTTACACACAGGGTCCCCTTGCCATCCCTGCTAGCACCCTGGCCCTTTGGGATGGCAATGGGGGCAGGCAGAGGTTTTCCTTCTTTGGTTCCCTTTTTCAGTGCACCCTCCCTGGCTCCGTGGGATGTAGGGTACCACCAGCTCCAGGCAGCAGAGCTTGGGGATGCCCTGCTTCCCTCACCAGTGAGCACGGCTTCTCAAACCTCCACCCCACTCCATGTGTGGCTTCTTATGCTGCAGGGAAAATCTCCAGGCTTCATTCTGCTTGATTCTTCCTCGTTTCCCCAACCTTACAATAAAAAGTTTCTCATTATTTATTTCGATCTCTAAGCACACGCGGAGGAGGCAGTGTTGGGTTATCTGCAGCCACGGGGAGGTTCTAGGGGAAAGAGCCAGGAAGGGTAAGATTCCTATTTGCTCCGGCCAGGAAAGTATTTGCAGTTTCCTGAAGTAATAAGAAAAGCATTAACAACCTCTCTGGCACGAAGGGGCTCCTTTATTAAAACCTGCAGAAAAGCCACCCCACGCCTCGCTTCCCCCGGCCACGTCCCGTCCTACAGATATCTCGGCTGGGCTTAGGGACACGGGGCAAGGACCACGCACGGAGAGAGGGCTCCAGCCAAAGGACCACGGGCTCGTGTGGGCCACCGAGGGCTGCCAGATGTTTTGTGAATCACCTACACCATGGGCACGGGACGATGTGTGCGTGTGCTCCGGGGTCTGGTGCCTTGGCTTATCGCGAGTGCCTCGCTATTAGCCGACGAGTCCCAGGCACGCCGCTCGTCACGTTCATCTCACGGCAATCTGTCAGCCCGAATAGGTCACATAATGCAAAGCTCCTAATATTTTGACTTGGCTCCTCACCACGCTCTCCCAAATGTGTGCGACAGCACGGAGGGGATTTTTTTCTTTTTTTTTTTTCCTTTTTTCACACTTGCAAGACAGCGTCACTGCAGTCTAACATTGCAAAAAACATTTTCTCGCCAAGAGCTGGAGCATCGGGCTGGGACTGCAAGAGCTTCCCAGGGATATTTCTTCCAAGGCTCCTGACACAGCCCTGGAGGGAGGTTTTTTCCCAACATTTTTCGTCCTTAACCAGAGCGGTTGTGGCTCTGGGCACGGGCAGGACGTCTCCACCCGCCCACCGCGCAGTTAATGCCTTCATTATACCTTTCACTTCCTATGTCAATAATGGAATAATATTTCAATAATAATCCAATCTAATAGCCTCTAATCTAATAGCCTACATCTCCAAACCTCGTTTAGGGCCGTTTGCCCCGATTACATCAGCTGGAGCGGAGGAGAGCAAACATACAATTGGAGGTTGGACGCCGTCCCGGCTACGTCTGCGGCGCCCATCGGGGTGCGTGGGGCTGGAGGCAGGAGGAACCAGCCGTGGCCATAGCCCTGCAGCCCTGAAGGGTCTGGGGAAATTCCTCCTTGCCTAAAGAAATTTATTCTCCTTTCCATTTGCAGTTCGCAGAGAAATACCCTTTCAGTGAACTTGTAAGGACCACCTCGAGTCCCGTGGAGAGAAGTGGTAATGCAAGCAAAAATCGGGTATTGGGAAAATATAAAAAAACTTCCCACACCATTCTGCAGCAATGCCTCAGACACCCCTGCAAAATAGCAGATCCACAGGTAAACATGCTGAAAATGCCTGGAAATCACCCAAATAGTGCAGTTAGCCCAGCACGGCTGGGGTCAGCCCCCAGCACCGCCCCGGGAGGCACGAGCGGTGCCGGGATGCTCGTGGTGCTTTGTGCCGGGGACACACGCGTGGTGCATACAGCTGGAGGGGCAGTGCCTGTGGGCACACAGCAGTGCACATCTGCACTGTTTGCATTATCTGCACGATTATTTTTTTTTTTTGCCAGAGGTGACACCAGGTTTCTTTTGGTGCAGGTGCCTTCCTGGGCACCCCACGTATGGAGCGTGAAATGCCACGAACCCAAGCTGCGTTCAAGTCTCTGTTTTTATATGCAACCTACAGACAATACTCAAGGGGGCTTTTAAGAAAGCTCTACAACTTCAGCTTGCTTAGGCATAAAGGAAACAGGCTGATTTCCCTTTGGCACTGTGCAGGTCGTGCCTTCAAAGCCACTCATTACCCAGGGGCTTCCTTTAGTGCCTGGCCTTGTGCCCAGGTCCGCAGTTGCGCCCTGCGAGGGAAGCACAGCCTACAGCTGGGCAAATCCAGCTGGGTGCTTGCGCTGGAAGCCTGGCCCAGCGGTGCCTCGTGCATCCCAGAAAATCCCATTTTTGTCCCCATCTGTGACAGCTTCTGGTGGCTGTGCCTGGGTGAGAGCCAACACACGCAGCTACCGACGTGGTTGCAGAGCGGCGCATCGCTTGGTGCGCGAGCACGGTGTGCTCCTTGCCCTTGAGGGAGGTCCTGAGGCTCAATTTTTGTTTGTTTGTTTGTTTGTTTCCACCAGGCAAAACTAGCAGCTGGAGAACCAGCTATAAAGAAGGTGCCAATGGATATGATGGGCGCGAATGATGTGAAAATCCACGCTGGGTCCTGGGCGAAGCGCTCTGGTTGTACCGCAGCCACGTTCCCGCAGCAGGGATGTCCCTGCTGGGCTGGGCACCTCCAGCACAAAATCCTGGGCAGTTTTTGGCTTTGTGAGCCTTGGGCATTGCTGGCTCCTGCTGCAGGATGAGCTCCTGCAGCAGCCCATGGCAGCGCAGGCGATTTTTTGCCCAGCACCACGGCTGCTCCTCAGCATCCCTTCCTCACGGAGGCTTGCGGCATCCCTGTGCTGGGGTTAGCTCCTTATTCCAAATGAAAGGGCGCTCCCTGCACTCTGTTAATCAAGCGTGACAGTGCATGTATCTTAATTTAAAATCATTGATATGGTTATTATTCCAGGCTGCACTGCGTGAGGAAGATGAATAACGCTTTGGGGAATAGCGAGTAGGTTTCTGCTGGGGAGAATCATTGCGTCCAGGTGGTTTTATTCAATTTATTTTAGGCTTAAGATATACGCAGGAATCCACTCCTCTGGCATGTGTGTGTCTGCCTGTGCGGGATCAGACGGTGGTTGTGCAAATGTGACCTTGCAGCCAGGAAGGCTGCAGACCCTGGTGGGTCCCCGTGCTCCTGTCCCCACCTGTGGCCTCATGAGGACACCCCGGGCACCGCACAGCCAGCGCAAAGTCCTCCTGCCTTGGAAAAAAGATTCAAGATTTGTTTTGCTCCTTTAGCAGGAGCATCACGGAGAGCACGGGAGGGATTTTCCCAGCAGCAAAACCTTGTTCTCCCTCCTGCCCTTGGGAATCCGCTCTCCGCGGGAGCCGAAGGCTCGCCTGATGCTCTGCCCACCATTGTCACGGGCTGAATCAAAGGGCTTGCAGCTCCGGGATTATTATTGTGGCTTGAAAGCCACAGACTTAAAAATTGAAAGATGCAATTCAGCTGTTGGTATATAAATATGCAGAAATTATAGCTCATTCCTAAACTTAATTGAGCACCATATGATCTGCATTCACTGCAGTCAATTTGGAAACATTAAAAGCTATTTTGATGGCTGTTTTTACAGTTACTGATTTGTTAATGTGTGTTTTGCAAATGCCGTTTTGATTGGCTCGTCTTAATTTGCCAAATGGAAGGCGCTCCTAATAGAGCTAGAAGGAGCAGAGGCTTTCATTTGCCTTCGCATTGTACCACGTTGGCTGGTGTTTATTTTTCCACTCCAGCCCGCGCGGGGAGGGAAGGGGGTTGCGGTGAAACACACGCCCAGCCATTAAACACTTTGATGTATTTGAGGGAAGACGTGGTTTTACTGGTGCGGCTGTCTGAAAAAAAGATGTCTGATGAAAGAGAGCAAGTGATCGCTAGTTGTTCTGTCACCAATAAGTTTTTTTATTCCTTCCCAATCAAAAAAATAAGCGATTTTTGATATCCGCAGCACCTGGCGATGCTGCTGAAGGAGGAGGAGGAAGGCTGAGTCCCCTAAGGGATGCTCAGCAAGACGGGGGTTGGCATTGCCCCGTGGCGACCCCGTCCCCATCCGGCTGCCCGTGGGAACAAAGAAAATCCCCGAGAGCATGGGGGCGGTGCGCGCGCTCCCCCTCCTTCTCACGTCCTTTATCGCAGGCACCCATCGGCTCAGCCGGGAGGGTGGGCGGCAGGATCGCAGGTTTTTCTGGTCGGACCTGAAGGAGCCGCAGGTTTATCGCCCGGTCCTCTGCTCCCGAGGGCACCACATCAAATAGCCGCCT